GGGGGGGGGGGGGGGGGGGGGGCAAAGAAAAACCATCCAGCGGGCATGAACGCGAACGTTGGCGAGGGTCATTCGGCACGAGAGAGCACAAAAAATTTATGCGGTTGGTCCATGGCACACGGAGGAGGCAGGTAACTCCACGACGCTCGGAAAACACTCGGCAGTCAACACTCACATAATGACAACACATGTTCATCGGTGAAGCAAACGACCAAAAACATGTACCATGGCAAGGGCGAGGGCGCTCCCCACGGGGTTCAAGTTCTCGACGCTTGCCGCTGTGGACCGTAGCCTCTGCCTGCGGCGTGTGGAAGCGCTGCGCGCGCTACGCTTGCTGCGGCTGGGAGAAACCTCGGTGTACCTCTGGGAGGAGTCGCTGTTGTTGGAGCGGCCGCGGCCAGCGTTGGAGCTGCCAGCGGTGTTCAGGTCCCCAAGCGGGGTGAGAGCACGCCCTGAGCTGCTGCTGCCACCGCCCATCGAGTTCGACATATCGAGAACGAAACGTGAGGAATCCGAAGGGCGGCGAAGGGAAGAAGAGAGAATGGTGTGTGGGATAGGGCGTCGATGGCGGGGCGAGTGATGGCACGACGCAGAAATACGTATCGCACCAAATATGAAAATCTGTATTTTTTGTCAACAGAATAACGGAACACACGGTATTGTATCAGGTTGTAGGTCCGGAGAATGGCTCAGTCTCCTCCATGACAACCTCTCACGGGGTCCCAGATCAGGGCCACGAGAAACATTGGTGTTCTGTTTTGAACCGCACTGAGACTGACGACGCGTCTTCAGTTGGCCAGTCGTTTTTCTTGCCTCTGAAGGCTTGCTCTTCTCTCTTGGTTTTTATCGAGGGAACAGTGGACTTTGTTGTCTTCTTCACACCCTTTTGGGTTGCATATACTTTTGTTGTGCTCATGCAAGGAGCACTGCATCCGTGTTTTACCGCCAAACGTGCATCGGGTGCGCGCATGATGAGCGTCTATCTTTTGCTGTCGAGGGGTGCCTTGGAGGTTGCCTGCATAGTGTTACGGCCTTCTTGCCACACCAATAGATCATTTGACAGCGAGGTGCCTTTTGATCGGGCAGCACGATCTACCGTTTGAAGGCAGCGGCGACGTTCTCTACCTTAGTGTGTGCTGAGGTGGGAAGAAACAAAAGTGCAACAAATGTATCTGGTCAAGTTTATCTTAATGGGACCAAAGTCGTTTTCGATAGGGTAGCAGCCTCACTATCCTTACAGAAGCCCGCCCACGTCGCCCACCCCACAATTGATCCGTATACCGTTCGTTTGGTACTACTCTGTCAGCCCCGCAAAACGTAAGCGCTGCACCCTGAAGTCGAACAGTTCTCTCTGTTTAGTGCGAAGCCGGCACTGTTGAGGTATTTTTAGACCCTGAAAAGTGCCGGTTGCCGGTATACAGTAGTGCCGGTCCACCCCCGTGGACACATTCCGGCATTGTATCGGCACACCTGCTGTGATTTTGTGATATTGGAGCGATGCGTGTACGTTTGGGTTGCTTCTATCTGCCTCAATCGGAAAGCATGATACACACTACCTGAACCTCAGTATCCTCGCGAACGCGTAGTACTATGGAGAGGCTCACTTCTCGCCCAGGAAGAGCGTGCCGGGCCCGAACTCCGTTTCCTTGCATTGGAGACAAGTCTTGCGAGCCGCGTCGTCTGCAGTAAACTTCGGCAGTTGGCGGGGCTGGTTCTCGTGCTCGTCGACGATCGCTCCCCACGCCTTGGATGTTTCGGAAGGCATGCAGGTGGTGTGTGAGCTTCTGCTGTAGGAGGGGTAGGGAGAGGGAGGGGTGTTGACAGGATGTGCGAAAGGAGGGGGGGGGCTTGCCTTGTGGGGGCCGCCACCTGTGCAAATAGGATTTGTATCCGTCCAATACAGGTGAAAAAAAAAATCTTGGGGGGGGGACCCCGTAGGACCCCAGCAAACTGCGCCAAGTGGTCACCTGCGCTACGGGACGAGGTCAACGCCATCGACAATGCCTCCGCCGACGATCTACCAACAGTCGCATGTCTTGCGGTCGGTGCGGCTGTAGTTATCCACAAGAGCCCCCAATTCGTCTTGCTGGGTGTGTGCAACAACTCCGACGGCGTCATCGACAGCATAGAGCTCGACCAGCGTGAAGAGTATCACGTGCATAGCAACCCGGGGCACTCTGTTGTATACCTGCGTTACACCCCCGTCAGGGTGCTTGTCTACATCAAGGCTGCGTAATGAGACTGGCCTGCAGCTCGACGGTTTGCCGCGCGGGGTCGTCGCCTTTGCTCCGGTGGAGAAACCCTTCTCGGTCGTCGGCGTCGGCAAGAGAAAGTTTACCATCCAACGGCGACAACTGCTGCCTACCGCCGGATGTTTATCATTTGTATACCGGAGCCACGGCGAAACCACGCGGACCATCATCCTCGACATTCGCAACCCACCAGGAATAGTATGGACCCCGCAGCCGTTTACGTAGCTCTATCCCGAGTCGCGTGTCTTGAAGACCTGTACCTCCTGTTCCCGGCAACGTTGGAGGACCCCAACAAACCACGAAACAAGGATGTCGTCGCCCTCACCGACTATCTCCAGCGGCTCGAAAAAGCGACCCTTGCAGATTTCCTCCAAGACCCCACACGCTTCACGCCGGCCTCAGCCTCACTGGCTCATCTTCCCGACGTAGGACCACGGCCGATGGCCAAGCAACAGCAGGTGAAAGGGGCTAACCGCCATGGACATGGAGCCACTCGCAGGACGGCATATTAACTGCCGAACAGCGACAACAATTGTTTCCTCAACTCTTCTCTTGCCTTGGCGCTCGCGGCCTGGGATGCTCAACACCTGCCAGACACTTCCAAATTGACTCCGGCAGGAGCCACATTCATGGCATTGCGTCAACACCTCCGGATCCCATGTTCGACGGCCATGCACTGCCTCAAGACATCTTGGTACGAATGTACTATAACGTCTATCTTCAATCTCTCACGAATGCCACTTGTACAGACGCCGTCGCTCAACCCTAGATATACATCTTCTTCGCCCGTCTGACATCAGGTTGCTGGCCAACATGCCCACCAACGCATCTTTGCCAACTCCGGACTACCTGGCCTTGGTTCTGAAATGGGTGCGGTTGCCATCCTCTTCGAGGCCATCGCCAAACGGTGCCCTCAACCTGCTCACGACTGGCCTCACAACGTCGATGTGCAGCACACCCTCGTTCTGTTTACTCGCAAGGCGTTTGGACTTGACTGGAGGTACTCTATCGACTGCACCATTGGCAACCACAGCGACCTTAACATCACAGCCGATCAATCGGCTAGGTTGAGGAATGTCACCGTCATCACCGTTCCCAATGGTAACTCCGCGCCATTCCAAGAACAGTTATCCGACTTCTTCGCTTCCGGCGAAGCCTCTGATCTTGCTATCCCTGGACAATCTTCGTGTCCCTGCTGCGCCGAGAACATCGCGTGCATACGTCCCGATGCACCTTGCTTCCCTGGACTGGAGACTCGGCGCCGGACAGATTGTTTTTGAGATCTTGTAAGTCTTCGAGGGGCTTGAAGGCCGCCCTATGTCACCGTCCGTGACTTTAACTTTCGGGGCGGAATTGTCACCGGTAGGTGTTTCGTACCACCTTCCTCTTGGGGGCGGGTCCCGTAACGACTTCGTCACGCAGATGCGCTCGAGGGGTCGGTGGCACAAATACGATTGCCTCCACGGCGGCCTTACAACCTCTTCAGATGACTTCGACCCTACCTGGTATCAGCCCCACCAGTACATGTTCGTCTACCTGTGGACGTCTATGTGCATCGCTACGCCACCGGCGTATCAGCCCAACCATCGAGATATCAGCTCGTCAGGACAAACCACCAACACCTACCCAGCAACGGAGCCACATAGCCCCTCCGGTGGAACCCTGTCGCCAAACGCCCAACATAGTTCAGCCCTTGTGAAGCCACCGGGAAGAACTGCTTGAGATGTTCTTGCATGCGATTTCTTCCGCGTTTTTCTGTATTTCTATCTTGTCATCGTAAGTTTTGTTCGGATATCATTCGTTCTTTTTCTTAGTGTCAGCAGCATGGTTTCAACGTCTTCACTGCGGTCTGAACGTCTTCCTTGTAGTCTTCGTTCTCCTGTGTCGCGTGCTCTACACTCTCACCGTAAGCACTTGCGGCTTGCCGTAAAAAAAGGGGAAGCTTCAGACCGGCAACGCCGACGGAACTCGTCGAGGAGTTGCACATCAATTCGAACGGTGCACACGAAATCTTGAAAGTCACACATAGAACGGAGAAGCCGAGGCGATGGGCATGAGTCCGATGGTGATGTGGTACGAAGAACAGTCACACGGTGCAGAGGCTGGCATTAGCCGTCCGTCGCGTGGCTTGAGACTTTTGAAGTACTGTATACCGAGTCAATTGCATTTGAAGTGCTTAGACTATACCTATTACGGCCATGTGCCTCACTCGCGTTGTAATCCACTTCATACGCATGTGTAATCTCAAATTGGGGGCGAGAGGGGGCGGGGGGGGGCGCCAGCCCCCCGCGTCCGCCGCCATTGTATTGTAGAATTGACCGCATGCGCATCCAGCCTTGTTTCGGGATCCTGCCCTCTCGTGTACCCCATACCCTTCCTGCCCCACACTCCTCCTATCTCCTCGATTTACAGAATAAGTGCGGCCGGATCAACTCACTCAGCGCTATCAGGGTGCAATGACGACGGGCCCGCAGTTGTTTCGGGGCGGTTGTCTCTGCGCAGCTTCTCCCGCCGAACGTGTCGCCGTTCGGAGATATCACCACTGGTGGACTGAAATGCAAATGTGGATCTTGTCAAGCATATTTGGCTGTTATTCGCACCGATATTCACTGACGTCAACTCGATGGTTCGTGCCTCTCGTGGACTTGAACGTGTTTTGGTTTTTGTTCGCTTCACGAATGAGTTTTGCTGGGTTCCGGTCAGAAAACGTCGTTTAGATTTTACACCCTCTGGGTTTCAATTCAAATCCTGTATCCGTTCGTTCATGTGCTTTGCCTATCCCTGGAGAAATACGTGCGCTCGGCCGAGATCAAGGCCGTGGCTAGCTGAATTGAGTCGGACTACGACATCCCCCGTGGCAAGAAAAAGGGTGTGCCAGGCTTTCCGAGATCTCATGGAAGCATGCAGCGCGAGCACGTTCGTGGTGCGGATTGGCTCGTACACAGAAGCCGAGCTTAGGGTGCTGGAGAAGTGGGCAAGAGAGCAGGTGCGGCCGGGTTTTCAGGTTTGGGGAGCGCGAATCCGTTGTCAGAGTTTTGGTATCACATATTGGGGCAGAGTTACAGCTGTGCCTGAGGAGGCGGAAAGGGAGGTCATGGCGTGAAACCCCTAAAAAGTACCAATATATTGTACCTGTCCCGAAGGGCCAGGAGTTTCAGAGGAAGGTAGTTTTGGGTCGAGGAAGACGAATCTGCGAGCTCTTATTTTGGCTTTTCCATCGATTGACAGCTGTGCCGAAACTTCGTTTCCCTCTAGGTTTTGATATATTTTGAAAAACTCTGCCCTCACTCTCCGCCCCTCAGTTTTTGCCTGAAAACGTTCTGAGTGGCTCTACCCCCGCTAAGTCGACCTCGCAAAGTCGATTGTCGAGATCCAAGAAAATGACAGAGTTCAGGAATGCGACGAAAAAAAAGTTCGAGCTGATCCAAAACGATTTTTGTCCTCGGACTTTTTTAGTCGTTGATGTTGGGTTTTTTAGCGAAAGCAAAATCGATTTTTGATGATTTTTTTTTCTCAGATGGGAGACCCAGTTTCTCTTCACTACGGATGGCGCTTGTGTAAAGTTGGGCACGGGGGGGGGAGATCGGCAAAGGATCTTGCCTATGGAATCTGTTTTTGCCTCTCTGACACACACACACGCACACACGCACAATTCGCACTAGTTGCCGCTTACAATGAGCCTGATCCCCCGTCATGTACTCGAAAAATCTCGTGGATGGAACATTTGAAGTCCCAGGTTTCGCCTTGGCCTGGCATTTTCCTCTCGTTTTACGCGACTACCAGGGCATTCGGTGTACATGTGGAAAATGATTCTGCTTGCTATAGGACGTATTAGTATGTTGTCGGGGGCAGCCTCTGCAAAAAACGCTTCCGGGCCCACCCCTTTGGGGAACAGGCGGGTCGGGGTGTTTTCGCGAGGAAGGTCATAACAGCATAAGGGCACAACAGCCACTACGGTATGGTCGTAGACCGCCATTTTCGATTGTCGTACCTTGTCTTTGGTGCTGACCGGAAGCAACGCGTAAGATTGGAAAAAAAAGAAACGCTCGGAGAGGCCAAAACGTTTTTTTTGTGAATGTACTCCTGGAGCATGAAGTATTTTTTTGGGGGGAGAAATAGATTCAACATGTTTTGCAGGGATCTAACTCCCGACCTTCTCCTTACGTGTACTATGCATGTAGGCCTTCGCGAGAAATTTCGAATTTCGCCCTTACCTGATCGAGCTTTCGTTTTGAACCCGACGGAGTACCGTACCTTTTTGTACTTTGGCCCAAGACCTAATCTTTTTTCGTCACAATCGTCAACCTCGTGAGGGTGTCGACGCACCATTTTTTTGGTGCTGCACACGGGTGCTGATCGTTGCGCAGATGCCTCGCCGTGGGCGCCACATGAACAATCTATTTCCACGGGATGGTGCCCGGCATTATTGTGCTAATGTGTCGGTGTTCGTGTGGTGTGGTGTATTCCGTATGTGTGTGCTTTGTAAGCCTTGCTCGATGCGAAGGTTCGCGTCGCTGGGGTGATTGTTACCCCGCTGCGGGCGAGCTTGCACCCATTCGTTTTGGATCGAGGTTGCCAGCCCGACAAGGCAAGGTTAAAAATAAAAATTGATTTCCTAATCCGACAAAAAACCGGCGGTTGGTAACCCAGCGTGAAGAGGTTAGACTATATAGAGTATACCCAACCTGGGCAGGTTATTCGCGGGCACAACCTCCCATAACGTACCCCACTGGCCACCTGTGAAAGGAAGAACTTGGCCCAGCGTGTATCACCAGACAGGGTTTCCTCAGCGGCACTGCTGTAAATTTCCACTTTGGGGGATACGGAGAGCGCCCGCAAATTTGCGCCCGCATCTATATAGACCTAGATATAGACGAATTTCCTTCAAGGTCGCGCTCTCGTGAGTCTAGAGCCCTTTCTTTGTGGTTTCTTCGCCCGTAAAGATCGCCTCGAAGCGAGACTTGCGCCTACCGACAGCCCTGAGTTGCGAGGGCCCTCCCGCCATGCCGCGCGCTCTCGGGGTAGACTGCGTGCAGCGCTAGCGAGGGCAGAAAGTGGCGTCTCCGACATCTACCATGGTTCCACCAATCACACACCCCGTTTTCGTACAGTGTGGTCTATTCATGCAAAGGTACTGTCGCCCCGGAGGTCGTGAGTTCGAAGTTCTAATCCCCATGGAGTGAAAATTTTACGAAATGTGCGGGTGAAAGCGAAATATAGCTGACAAGCTCCCGTGAGTATCAAACTTCGACGTTGGCACCGTTGACGAGGGAAAGGGACGGCTGGACCCTTCTCACGATAAAAATAAAATTCAGCACGCACCGCCGGAGGAAGGTGGGGCATGAAAAGAAAAAAATAGAAGAGTAAAGCCCTCGTGTGTATTTCCCCCCTCCTGTGTGACCCTGCATGCCCCCCTTCGGTGTTTGCCATCGGGGTTGGGTTTTCGTCGCTTGGCAACGACG